TATTTTTAATTTAATTTATTTTACTATTTTTATTTTACATTTTTAAACTAAAAGTTGTCAACTAGGCCACATATTTATATTTATATTTACACACACACACACACACACACACACACACACAAAATGGATTCATTTAATAAACAAATTATTGTCCTTGCATAACTATCCCTTTTATTGCGGCAGCAATTGCACAAAAATGTAGCATGGTATCAAAATATTGCAGCAAGGATAAAGTTACACTCTCCCTGCGGACTGCGCGGGCACTTTCAGAGAGTTGACAGACGGGGATACAGTAATGGATGGGGGTTGGGACAGATTGATTGTCTTTGCAGTCAGACGCGAGGAACTTAAACGAGTAAGAGCGTATTTATTGTAGTTTGAAGGACAGTGAAGTATCTCTATGTGGTGGGCTGTTTATCAACACAAACCTTTTTTGCATTATTGCCAGTTGTGGATAACGGGAGACTCGCGGAGGCTTGATTCACAGAAAGAGCTGGAGTACCGCGCGAACTAACATTTTTTAAGAAACAGCCGCAGTTTACTTCTGAAACACATTCTGGGTGAGTAGACCTGATAATATACACAAAAATACACTAATTAACGATTGTATTAAGGGACATTTTTTTAGTCCATCTGATCCGCTTTTACAATTTCAACGTCGTCCAGGACTCATATTCAAATAGCTTAATCTGACCACATACCACAGTACATTGAATATGTTCGGGATTTTTTCCGCCTGGAAAAACTTGTACTTTTTACTTGTACTTTTGTCTTGAGTAGGTGTCGGGTCAACATATGGTCTAATGACATCCACCCTAAAGAGCTTTTCCGTTGCTGTAGTCATCCCGACCGAGTAATTACAAAGATTATTTGGCTATGGGGTCGATTAGTGAGGGTAAGCTTGTTTAGCAGCTGCTGGTTTTAGAAGCAGTGCTTTGGTCTCATGTGAACGGCCTGTGGAACAAGGCTGGACTTTTGTCCACTCTAAGAATAGATTTCTTTGAGGTTTCCAAATTTCCACACAGATGCTACTTTCTGCAAAGGACCAACTATTGTGTTGCTCTGGAGTTTCACTATAGGATTGTCTCCTTCACAAATAGCTTAAAGGGACTGTGAGAGCCACCCAAAAAGTCTGTCATTATGTCTTTCCAAACCTGGTTAATTGACTTGATTCTGTGTAATTCAAAAGGTTATTTTTAAAAGAATGTCCTGGACACTTTTCAGTATGAAAATGAATGAGGACTGAAGATGTCCAAAATGACAAAAAAGTTACTTTTAGGTGTTTTTGTTGATTGCTTTTACCCATCTGACTTATGTGCCATATAAGAGTACAAATCAAAAGTCACTATTCACTGAAAATTATTTTGCTCCCCTTAGCACATTTGTAAGAGAATTAGCATTTTGAGCTTTTGACGTTTTACTGCATTGGTTGATCCACTTATTTCTGAATTGGACTGATCTGTGAAAGAAAGCATCAAATAAAGACTGCTGTATTTTATAGTTTTCTGTTAAGTGAGCCACATTGTGTAAATAAAAATCATGCACAATCCAAAGAAATTACATTTCATTTAAAAAAAATTATTTATTTATTTATTTTACATGCGCTTGAATATACCACATAAATGGTACTTGCTGACATTTGCGTTGTAAAATTAGCCCTGCTTTTTGATTGTTGAGCCCATCTCTGAACTAACAGTGACATGTTTTGCCTTAATAAAATATTAAAGTTTTGATTGGTGAAAGTGAGGCATATATGTTTGGCCTTGGAGTCTATCTTGTCTGGCTCATTTGTGGTTTTCTGCACCGATAGCCATGAAGAAATTGGTTCTGTTGTCTTTTATCTTATGAAAATCATTGCCTTTTTATTGTTTGGAGGAGTTGTCCTCTCACTTCCCTTGTGATGATTAATGTTAAACTGAGAAAGGGAAAGCTCAAGAGCATTATAAAGAGACATATTGGTTATATTGGTTTTGTCTCGTCGAGCATGGAAACACAATATGGTAAGGGACGTAACATTTCCGTCACGCGCTTGAGGTATTCAGCCAATCACAACGCATTGGATAGCTGGCCAATCAGAGCACACCTCGCTTTTCAGAACGACGAGCTTTGTAAAATCGACGAGTTTCAGAAAGACGGGGCATAGAGGAGAAACAATAATGTACAGTATGTGGAAAATAATGTGGTTTTTTTTACCTTAAACCGCACAAACACATTGCATTACACCAAATACACAAAATAATGTTCTTTTTAGCAACATCATATGACCCCTTTAAGAAACATTTCTTATTATCAACGTTAACAGTTTTTGCTGCTTAATATTATGTGGAAACCATGATACACTACCATTCAAAAGTTTGGTGTAAGGAACATTAAAAAAAAGAAAAGAAATGAATACTTTAATTCTGTGAGAACACATGGACAAATTAAAATGATCAAAAGTTACAGTATACATTTTTATGTTAGTAGAGTAAAGCAAGATTTTTCAAAAGCATTTTTCAAATAAATACTGTTCTTTTGAACTTCCTATTCATCAATGAATCATGAGAAAATGCATCATGATTTCCACAAAAATATTATGCTGCTTATTAAAAATATTAAAACTCTTTTCAGCATTAATAATAGTAATAACCATTAATGATTAATAATTGAGCACCAAATCAGCATATTAAAATGATTTGTGGATTGTGTGACTAAAGTAAAGGTCAGCTTTGCCATCACAAGAATAAATTACATTTAAAATTTTAACAATACGGCGATTCAGTGAAAAAAAGATGTACACCAATATTTCCAGATGAACTAAAATGTTGATTTGGGAGATTATGTTTTTTTCACTGTATATTACCAGTTTTGTTTCCTAACAAGAAAACATTGACACAAGGACACTTTTCAAGGAACTATCATTTTTCATTTCCACTCTCATGTATTCTCAAGATTGCTTGAACAGATTGTCCAGTCATCCCTCATTGATGCTAAGAGGACAGAGGTATCTGGTGGTGGGCCAGAGGTGTACCACAGTTAAACGATTATAGGGTTTAAGTCTATATAGGCATGCTTGTAAAGTCAACCTAATTCAGTAGGCCAGCCTAGAAAACTCAAAAATTGGTCACACATCTGTTCTGACAGCAAGGAAAAAATGCTGAATGCAATTACCGGTAATAAAATGCAACTATATAATCATGTATAGGATAGCAAAGTTTTAAAAGGAAAGAGAAAACACTTCACATACCTTTTGTTGTTGATGTCAAAGGCTGTGCATCCAATAAAAGCAGCCAATTTAGGTAAATGCCAACATGTTCAGGTTGCATGACGTCCTCATCCTCAAAAAGGCTTAAACAAAACTAAAAGGTAAAATGACCCACACTACATTAAATACGGGTTCACTTTCAGCTAGGATAAAATGTTTTGTGCCAACTGCATTGTGTTTTGTACAGTGAAATATTGGATGCAGACAGAATGAAACCATTAAACTTTAAGAGACATTTAGAAACCAAACACTCAAACAAACCAGCTGAAATGACCTTAATACTTTAATAAATATTTAAGTAAATTTCAGTCTTTGATTTAGTTTACTTCTGTACGATAAACAGTTTTTTGGTTGTTGAGTCGCCGCTTGGTAAAACCAGTTAAGCACCACTAGTTTATAAGTGTTTTAGGTTCATTTTCAGCGTGTGTGTTGTTTAGCTATGACCTTCTGAACAGATGTGTATATGTAAACATCATTATTAAAAAAATTGAATCTGTGGCTTATCGTAGATGGCTTGATGTGTGATAGTTCTGTTAACAGCGACTGAGGCAATGTCGCTATTTAGTCATCAGAGAAAACAAGAACGCAGAGTGTATACATAACGACAATGATTTATAGCTCCAAAAAAGGTTTTTGGAAAGGCGTGTTTATCTGCCCAGCCTCTTCGCTGGTATCGAAGGGTCACGGTGACGTGAAAACCAAATGCACACGTCTCGAGGTGTGAATGAACTGTGTAGACAATTGTGGCATACTGATGGATATGATGCTCTTTGTTCTAGCAGAGATTTGTAAAAATGATCCCGGAGGCGCTTACTGCCAACAGCTTTGTCAGTGTACAGGAAAATTCCCATGACAGTTAGATTGAATCCAGGCCCAAGCACCCAGAACGCTCTTGAATCCACACATTGTTTCCCGAGAAGCTGAATGGCACTTTCTTGGACGAAGTAGTAGGAAACAGAGAGAAAGAAAGAGACGGCCACCCTCTCGGCTTCTATGTACCGCACAGGAAACCAGATGCAGGAAATCTAAACCTGATGTCTGCCTTATTGAAATTCACAGTTAAATGTGTATGGGTTGGCAGCGATAAACATCTTTGTTTTCTTTTTTAATGTGGTCAGGGGGTGTTAGTTCATTACATCTTCAGAGTGCATCCCAATGTTTTCTGCTTTTCAGCATTTCTTTGTTACATTGTCCTCACTCCAGGCAACACTGTGATGTCCGACTCATAAACAAAATGACTAGTTGATGATTAGTCAATGATTAGTTTCAGGATGCGTGTGTGAGTGTGAGTATGCGTGTGTGACAGTGTGTGTATGTGAGAGAGTGTGAGTGTGTGTTTATGTGAGAGTGTGTGAGTGTGAGGATGTGTGTGTGAGAGTGTGTGTGTGTGTGTGAGGATGTGTGTGAGTGTGTGTATGTAAGAGTGTGTGAGTATGAGGATGCGTGTGTGAGGATGCATGTGTGATAAACACCCGCCCACACTCACTCAAAACACAAAGCAGTCCCTTTTCTCCTTTTCTCCGTGGTCTTCGAGTTTTCGACAAGCTGAAGCGAAGCACATGCGCGTCAAGCAAACTGGAAATTTTACGCACTTGACTGCAGTCGTGCAGGCGTTCTGTTGTCGGATCATGTACGCACGGACGGAGCACTTTCATTACGCAGACGTCGTCGGGCAGATTTGAAAGGCATCTGCCGAGATGCACCGTGGCTGCTGTTACCAAGCGCCGATATATAGAGATACCGGCCGGGTTTTATCATGGTTTTCAGACGGTCAGCTCGGTAAGTGTGTCAGGCTCAGAGCGGCGACTGGCACTGACTGCTAGGCGCAATCTGTGATTTATCTATCTGTCTTTGTCCGAGCAATCATCATATGTGTTCTACTGAAGAAACAAAGTCACCTACATCTTGGATGCCCTGGGGGTAAGCAGATAAACATCACATTTTCATTTTTGGGTGAACTATCCCTTTAAGAAATAATGTTGCTTAAATGTTTCTGGATTATTTTCAGCAAATACTGATAATGCTTTATTAACCCGCTGTAAAAACCATCTGTGGCTGGTTTTCTGAGAAGGAAATTCAGTTCTCACTTAATGTAAAAAATGTCATCATTTACTCATTTTCATGTCGTTCTAAACCTGAAATTTTTTCTGTGGAACACAGTTTGTCATACTGATTTGAAATGACACGAGGTTGAATAAATGATGACAGAATTTTTGGGTAAACTATCGCTTTAAGAAATAGGATTAAACCAGTCTAGAGTACTATTTGTATTGTTACGGTATTCTTTCGTTGTCATTTTCATTTTTATGTCATAATTTTTTCTTTCTCTACATTAGCTGGATGCAGCCAGAGAGACCTCACTCCCTCTACTCTCTTCCCTCTGAGAATTCCCAAGGGGAGTCTCTGGGGTCTTGTCAGCCCCACGTCCACATCATGTTCCTGAAGACTCACAAGACAGCAAGCAGTACCGTTCTCAATTTGCTCTATCGCTTTGGAGAAGAGCGGGGCCTTAAATTTGCCCTGCCCGTGGGGTATCAGTTTGGCTACCCACTGCCCTTTATCGCCCAGAGGGTGAAAGGATGCAGAGGCCCTCACGTGGCAGAATTTGACATCATGGGAAATCATATGCGGTTCAACAAACCAGAGGTACAGCATACTATAGCTGGCATTTCCTTAGACAGATGTGTTGAAAATCACACTCTGGTTATTCAGATTTGAAAAATTATTTAGGGGTCAAATAATAAAATTAATTGACTTCTTTAGTGTTAATATTGTGTTTCTGGCTGTTTGGGCATCAAAAAACATAAGTCGCAACTAGGTGGCGCTATAATACGTACATTTATGTTTTCACTTATAATAAGTGCTGTCAAATGATTAATTGCGATGAATCGCATCCAAAATAAAAGTTTTTGTTTACATAATATATGTGTGTACTGTGTATATTTATTATGTATATATAAATACACACACATGCATGTTTATATTTGAGAAACATATGTTTTGTTTATATATAAAATACTAATATTTATATATAATAAAAATTATAAATGAATATAAATATATACTTGTATGTTTGTGTATTTATATATACATAATAAATATACACAGTACACACACGTATATTATGTAAACAAAAACTTTTATTTTGGATGCGATTAATCGTTTGACAGCACTACTAATAATAAATTGCAAATAATCATGCAAATTATTTTAGTCAAATACTTGTGATTGACGCTTGCAGCTATTTTTGACATTATCTGATTTGTCAGTTGTATGTTTTTTTCAAACAACCTTGACTAACTAACTTAACTGACTAACTAACTAAAACTAACTACTTTTACATCTTTATTTTCTTCTAGTCCAGAATCTAAATGGAAACCTAAGCAGAAAAACTATAGAAATCTCCTATGAACATTTATATTCAGTATTTGATTTCAGTTACGTGATTAAAGATGTTCCTTTTTGTAATGTTATTCTCTTTTTACTTTTGTTGCAGGTTGAGAAGGTCATGCCAGCTGACACCTTCTATTTCTCCATCCTCCGAGACCCTGTGGCGCTAGCTGAATCCTCCTATGCCTACTATAAAAATGTTGCCCCTGCCTTCAGGCGTACCAAAGGACTGGGTGAATTTGCAGACAACCCCTATAAATACTACGACCCCAGACTCCGAAACAACCACTATGCCCACAACCTGATGTGGTTTGATTTTGGTCTGGATCATACCTCCAACTTCAGCCTTGCGCTGGTCAAGCGCGGTGTGGCAGCAGTGCGTCGGAACTTCAAGCTCATCCTTATATCAGAGTATTTCGACCAATCTGTGGTGCTGCTCCGCCACGCTCTGTGCTGGCCGCTAGATGCTGTGGTTTCTTTTAGCCTGAACGCCAGGCAGCAAATGACCAGTGGAAGATCAGGATGGATGGCCAAGGCTGCAGCTCCAGCTCCTTTGGCATTAACAGGCAAGCAACGATCGAAATTACGTGAATGGAATGCACTAGACTGGCACCTTTACCAAGCTTTTAATCTCACTTTCTGGCAGGAAGTAGAGCGCTTCGGTCGCAGTCGGATGGAGTCTGAGGTGGCCTTGCTTAGGACCAAACGGGAGGTTCTCACTCGCATCTGCTTGCGTGATGGGGGCCGCCCCATAGAGGCCAGTCGCATCCGGGACAAGACCATCCGCCCTTTCCAGAGTGGATTAGTGAAGATCTTGGGTTACGAGTTGCAGTCGGGACTAGACAATGCCACGTGGGAAGCTTGCCTACGCATGATCAGGCCTGAGATACAGTACAAAGACTTGCTGGATCTTCGGCAGTTCCCTCGAGCCCAGCAACCCCCAGCCGCTGGAGGACTTCCAGTAAAGAGAGAGTCCTCAATACTCAGGACTGAAGACCATGGGGGAAAGAGGTTGGTGGAGAAGGACTGGGATGGGACCATTCTGTTTCGGAATCAATCATTAGAGCAGGTTGATTCAAAAGTAAGACTTAGATAGTGAGCTAGTTGCACCTTTTTGCCTCAAGGTCAGTAGTTCTGACCCATTTTGGCTCCACACGCCTCTGTGCTGCACTACTAGAGGAGAAGGGATATCCAAGACATACAACACACCACTTTGTCATTGACTCTTCCTTCTTCCATCTTGCCCTTCTACATTCTATTTTATAGAACACAAAATTTGAAGTGAAGAAGTGGTTTGTGAGTAGATTACAGTGGCTGGATTGATATAATGGTACAAACATGCCAGATGGTGGCTAAATGCATAAACTCACTGTCGGTGAGTTTGATATTGGGAAGAAGTGAGAAAATGCTGCTTCCTTGTCCATGATGAGCCATGGTATGATACAAAAAACGTAGCAGTGCACATGTCATGTAAGTGGTTGCAGTGTTTCAAACAATACTACTAAAACCCCACTTTCAAATAGATAAAGTATCTTTGGTACGTTAGTGTTCAAAAGTTTGGGGTCAATAAGATTCTTTTTGAAAGAACTTAATACTTTCATTCAGCAGGGATGCATTAAATTGATCAGAAGTAACAGTAAAGACATTCATTATGATAAAAAACAAATACATTTTGTTCTTTTGAACTACAAGAATCTTGAAATAATGTGAAATTCAAGACTGGAGTAATGGCTGCTGAAAACTCAGCTTTGCCACTGCAGGAATTAATTACATTTTAAAATATATTACAATAGAAAAGTTATATTAAATTGTAATAATACTTCACATTACTGTATTTTTGATCAAATAAATGAATCCTTTGTGAACATAAGAAACTTCTTTCAAAGACGTTAAAAAAGTATTACCAACCCCAAACTTCTAAATGGTAGTGTTGGTGTACATCCAGTATCACTACCAAAAAGGTATGCTTGAGCATCCAATGAAATAACAATTTGATATTGGAAATGAATTTGAATTTGATTATAGTACTAAGACACGATGGATATCCATTTGTTGCATGATGAAATTCCACAAAAGTGCAATCACAGTCGCTTCATTGTCTGGATCACGTGATTCAAACTGGTACTTTTCAGAGTTGCTGGAATTTAATTTTATATCCATTTACAGTATATGGGTAATTGTTCAACAGGAATCTTGACAGTGTTTTTTTTTTTTTTTTTTTTAGAAGGGATACGTTGCAATCTTTTGATTTCTATGCCACACACATTTTTCAGTGACACAGTATAAGCTAATACGGCTCCCATGGTTCTGTGAGAACAACATCTCCAGTTTTTAACACTGTGAAATAATTTGACCATTCATAAAGGGCAAAATGGGCTGTAGATTTGTATTTAACAACCTCAAGTGATTGGCCATTGCGCTTCCTGTAACAGTTTGTTTACCTATTGATATTTGCTAGAGGTTGATATTTTAGCTTTTTATTTTGATGTTTTGAATAAACATTAAATCAAAAAAAAAAAAAAAAAATCCATAGATGGTGAATGTTCATTGGCATGGTAAATGCTGTAATTTCTGAGGCCTGTCATAGACATTTTAAAGATCAGGGGCCAGATTCATGAAACATTCTTAAGAAGAAATTTCTTCTTAACTGCCATTTTCTTCTTATTTTTTAACTGAAAAAAAAAGTTAAAGAATATTTTGTATTCCCAAAAATTCATCTTAAGAATATTCTTAACTTAAAACTTGAGAAGAAATTAAATTCTTGAAAAGAATCTTCTTAAAAATCATTGTAAATAACTAAATAAATTTAGGACAGCCCCAGACTTGTCTTAAATCCCAAACAGTAAGAATTATTTAATGAATTTATTGGGTTATTTCAAATAAATTGTTATATTTAAGCATTACAACAACACTAGCTACATATAATACATAGTAGGACTATTAATAGGGATGTGCACGAGTTTTCTGAAGTGACATCGATGACTGATTATGTAAACAATGATTAGCCTATGTGTGACGCTACTTTTTGCTCACTTCAAAACTCAGTAGCAACTCTAAAATGAGTCAGATAGGGAGCTTTAATTGAACGCTTTTAATTTTAGCTTACAAATACGACATAATCTTTGGCAGTATTCAGCGCACATGAATGCGCAGGACGCGTTTGCTGTAGCAGCGCGGACACATACCGGAAGCGTTCACTCAGATGAGAACGCAAAAACACAACACAAAAATGAATGAAACATATCGCTGCAGCTTGAGACAGGCTATTTTAAAAGTAACTGTTCAAAAACACGCCGCATTAAAAACGTGAAGCTGGGTGCCAGTCAAACGCGCGACGAAAATAATGTACGTGCTTATTAAGATTATTAGGGTAATCTGCAGGAAGCGCAAAAAGACAATAAAGCGTGAGTTTATCAGTGCGTCATGTATTCACTCCGATAACGACTGTTATTTTCTTCTTAAGAAAAAAATTAAGATGTTCTTAAGAATATATTTGAGAATTTTTCAAGAATTGCACTTAAGAACATTCTTACGAACTTCGTGGAATTTATCTTAAGAAATTTCTTAAGAAGATTTTCGTGAATCCGGCCCCAGAACTCCACCTGAAATTCCAAAACTCAATGGTTATTTTACCTTACAATTCGTACCTTTGTGAAGCAGTGCTTTAATATCAAAGTTTGCTGTATTTATTATGCTTTTGTATAAATTTATCTTGTGTATCTACTGCATTTATACTCTCAAACTACTACAAACTTTTTTTTCTCTTATTGCGAGTGCTGAGAAAATGTAGTGTAGAAATTTGACTGGAATGCACTGTGCAAATTGCCCCATGTATGAACAGCCAGCTTTTGTATGCAGATTTCAATGCACAGAGTAAGACGACATCTAACATTACCAATGATTTTATTTCCTCTGTTCTAAGGCAGACGATATTGAAATGAAGAAAACACTAGTATGGTCACTGTTGTGTGCCTATTCATGTGCATCATTTATTGTATAGTTAGGATTTATATGCATGGCTATAGTTAGCAATCATTTCCTTGTATAATTGATTAACAACTGCATAACTTGCATTTTAATACCCCATTCCATCCTAGTTTGGACTGTACTATTGCCAGTTAATTAGCCGTCTTTATCTTTGACTTTCCATTCACAGTAGCTTCCGTGATTGCAGCTCACATTAGGTAGTTATTGATGCTAGATTCAAAAAACAATTAAATGATTTAAACTCAGATTTTAAAAAACAACTATGATTTTTTTTTCAGTGAATAATAGAACATGCATTTAACTGATTATATTTCACAAAAAAGACTCGATTTGAAAGACGGTGATACATTTTGATCATACCTATTTCTCTTTAGAAACTTTGTTGTTGGCAAATTTAATGTTTCTTCCATTAAAAAGAAAAGAATAATGCTATTACTGTGAATCATGTTTGCAGAAATTCACACTACATTAAGTGTGACTAATTTAAGCATTGATTTCCTGTTAAGCCTGAGATGTATAACTTTTACATTCGCTCACCTCATTTTAGAGAAAACTGTAATGAGTCTGGCAATATTGTGCTGTAATACCTGCGTGTCATACAAATCAGTGGGTTCAGTGTCTCCATGACTCTTTTGGTAGATTAACTGTGGTACTGCAATTTAAAAATAAACCAAAGAGGTACTGATGTTTCTGTACTTGGAAACTTGATATATCAAATATTGGCGCAGTTTTTCATTACATTCATTGACCAGAAAATTGATTCAGAAGGAGTGCAAAGGGGCAAATTCAGCCTATGGTCTGTCAACTATCATCTCATAAGGGAAGAAAAAGAAATGGGCTGGAGTTTAATTGAAAATGTGCTCTCCAAATGAGAAAAATGCAACACTTCTCTTACAACACAATCTATAAGTTATTATCAGTCAGTTTTAATTGAACAGGATAAGTAAACTCATTCACGTTTACTCTCTTCTGCACTTTTAAGACTGTAATGCGATTCAAATGATATTTCTATTCAGTCTTCTCTTTGACTGAGATTTTTGACTGATATTTATTATTTTTCTTTGTTACTTGAATATATGGGGAAACCTCTGTAGATATTTGCGTGTGATGAACTTGATTTGGTTTACTTGTATGTAGTAAAATAAAACAAAAATTTACATGTGACGAATGTGTTTCTGATGTTTTCTAATAGCTAGCATTGGTGTCCTTATCATGCACCACAGGATCTCTGCACTGAATGAGATAAGATCATTGCTACAGGATGCTTATTTGATATACAAAGTTAAACACAATGGAAATAGGAGCTGGAACTGTAGGTTTGCATATGTCTTTTCATGGACTCTTCTCAAAATACACCTGTGACCTTTATGTATAGCCTGCAAATAGGAACACAGTTAGCACATGTGGCCACATGTAATACTCTCAGATGGGTCATTCCGTGTCAACTCAACCAGAGGTCCCCGGCTCAAATTTTAGATTTTGTTAATAATTTTTTTCTGTAGAAAGACAAACATATAGTGATGAAAGCCAAAATATTAAATGTCACAGATGTATATTTACTTAGTAATCCTCTATTTTGTAGAGGGGGGTCAAAATGACAAGTTTCTTTTTTCACAGAGATTGGTAGTGGTATTAGTAAAATCTGTTGACTAGCAATCTTTGTTTCATTATAAGACAACGGTGAGCGTTAAAAAATGGCAAAAAGCACTTCTTGTGTTTGCATGCCTGTAACTCAAGAAGATATCTCAATATCTTAATATATCTGTATTAGATATTTCTCTTTAAAATAAAAAAAGTATCAGCTGTATGCAAAATGACCCACATTTGGTTTTTGACCAATGAAAACGTGTACAATTTACCAATTTACTCATGGAGCCGCATTAATATCTCCATATCTCTGGGAATGAACCATCGAGGGCCTTTAAAATGAAGATACCAAAAGGAAAGTTTGTTAAGAACCAGAATCTAAAAGGATATTAAGATATTTTTTTAATACTTCTTGAGTAACAGACATACAAACTTGAGGCAAAAAACACAAGAAGTGCTTTTTGCCATTTTTTAACTGTCGCCATTAGAATATAATGAAACAAAGATTGCTAAAGTCAACATATTGTAAAAATAGACCTGCCAATCTCTGTGTAAAGATAAAATAATGATGCTGCCTGTTTTCTAAAGTCATTTTTAAACCCCTCTAATTTGGCTCCAAATCTCAGGTGAAAATAGTAATTCTTCAAAATAGTGGATTACTCAGTAAATCTACATCTGTGACATTTAATATTTTAGCTTTCATCACTATTTATGTTTGTCTTTCTACAGAAAAAATATTAACAAAATCCAAAATTTGAGGCGTGGAAATTCCCGAAATTAGTTTGATTTGACACGGAATGACCCAGATACAACTTAATTCAGTTTTGAATGACACGATTCAAAGTTCAGTATGCAAACATTAAAGTCTGTAAATTTAATATGAGTTGCCTTTAATGAAATAAGCTAAAATACATTTATGTTGAAGCATTTACTGAGTTGTAAAGGAACAAATGAAGGGGCAACACACATAACAATAAAGAGTGAATTTTGTGAAGTCTCCAAATCTAAAGCTTAATTTTCTCACAAATACATTTATGTTGAAGCATTTACTGAGTTGTAAAGGAACAAATGAAGGGCAACACACATAACAATAAAGAGTGAATTTTGTGAAGTCTCCAAATCTAAAGCTTAATTTTCTCAACAAGAACACAGGTTTAACCATATTTACCATGTTACTATCGTCATTAGCTTAAACAGTATCTAATGGGAGTTGATTCGCTAGGTGTTTTTACATTTAAATGTAGACATTAGACACAGAGCAGCTTCAAAACACTGAACTTTTCCCCATGCATAAATGGCAAAATATAATTACGTTATTTTGTTGGAAATAATAATATAATACATTTCAAATGAACATCATTACAAACAAAGTAGTGAAATATAACAGTTATAATAATTAATCGCAGAATTAAACAAAACTGTTCACAGCTAGACCATTGTTTACCTTTATCGACAAGCGACTATTCATGCCTAGCTATTATGCCGCTCTAACGTTACTCCGTCTTAACTCGATAAGCGTGCCTGTCATACAGCGCACTTGAATGTATTGTATACGTCAACTGGCATCCAGCCGAAATGGGACAAAATAGGATGAATGTAATTTTTGTTCAATCTGGGAAACCGTGATATTAAGCGAGGTGAAAGGTAAAACGGGCTTGTTTAATTTAGATATTCTTTTTTGAGTGGGAGTGTTATTTGCAGGCTGCTCAGTCTAACCGGATACCTTCGCTGTCTGCTTGCAGTGCGCTGTGATGGTCATGGTGTTAATGATGGAATCGCAATGCGAGTACTTTATGTATTTTCCGGCCGTCCCCATCTCAGACCTGTCGGACCCGGCCAAATACCGCACGCTTCCGCGTCGCAGTCACCTTTATCTCGGGGAAACCGTGCGCTTTCTCCTGGTTTTGCGCTCTCAGAACGTCGCGTCGGTGTCCGGGTCGACCGGCACTGCGGCAGCTGATGGCAGCGTCTCGGAGCATCATAGCAGTCGCTCTTGGAGGGAGCTGGCCGGCTCTCTCTGCGCCGTGGCCAGCGTTAGCCCTGGTGACAACCGGCAGCGGACACAGCCTCTGTATCACGACTACCACAGCAGCGGGGACGAGTGTGTGGAGGATACGGACGATGATGATGCTGCGGAGGTGGGCTGCGCAGGTAGAGGGGGCCCGAGGTACCGGGGCTTCAGGGAATGCAAGCCGCTCCTCATTCACAACAACCCCGGCAACGGCGTGAGGGAATTCCGCAAGGCTCCTGTACAGGTGCTTAAACAAACACTTCAGTCTATTGGAGAATAGCTGTTTATTGTACAGTTAAAGTTCACTGTTATGCATACAAATATATTTGATTATCTATAACAACACGGAAGTGTTGATATTTCCTGTTGTACTGTTTGAGAGATGTGTTTGCCTTTTCTTATGGCTGGCAACCATACAGAACACAGTCCTTTACAATTTATAATTGAGGATAGTCATAGTACTGCAAAGGACTTCCTCTTTTTAGTATTCTGGCCAGAATGCTACCATGTGTCTTTCAAGCAGTATATTTCTATAACAGTCCTGACTTGAACCCCCTGCAGGTGCACTCAGTAATGTTTTGCTAACTAAAAAAAGATTTTATACCAAAAGAAATGAACAGCACTTTTGAGAAATATCATTTAATAATAGGATATAAAGTCACACAAGATGAAGACTCCAAACATCTTCTAGGAAAAAAGCTATTTTATTTCACAAGAGGCGTTCTATGATGTCGTGATGTGATGCCATGTGGACACCAAATGTCCTATATATTGATATATGTAGTATTAGATGGAGAAAAACACACACACAAAAGAACAAGACAGAAGATAAGCAATCAGCTTCAGTGTGAAGCAATCCAATGTTAGTCAACAAGCTTCATGAATTCGCACAGATAAGCTAAAGTAAAAACCCCAAACCACTTCTGAAACAAATAAGAGCTGAGTAAATGTAAAACTTTAAACTTTTCATGAAGATTAAATTCATACAATTCCTATATAATTTCAGACTTTAGAAGAAAAGTGCAACACTCATTCCACAAACATAGGCTTGACTTTATTTATTTTTTATAACAGTGACATTTTGGACAACAGCATCCGATTGTTTCTCTTTTCTTCTGAAATTTGTTTAAAATTTTAAAATTTGGATTTGTGATTTTGTAATTTTGTAATTTTATAATTTTATAATTTATCTCGACCATGAAAGTTACATTTAAAAAAAATAGAAACATTTACCTTGAGGTCTTCTCATAGCATTCTGTCATTTTTAGTTTAAAATGATTTTGATACCAAGAGAGGTTTTATCCTAAGTCATTTGACCTGAGTATTTTCAGGGACTCCTTTTCAGTGTTTTTCTCAGAAGTTGGACCTGTTTGCTCCCCCTAGCCTCTCAAATGTCTGTATACGCCAGCCCAGCATACAGAAGCTATTTAAGATATAAATAACACCTGCAGATTGTAAATGACATCTGGAGAATGAAATATGATCATTGTAATGAAGTCAAGTCATTTTAAATCAAGAATTTAGGACAAATTTTTCACATCTAACAAACGTTTGACAGTCCGCCAAGGTGCAGTGCTTCTGTGTTTTTTTCCTATTGAAAATTCTCATAAGAAGCAAAGCAAGGCAATTCATTTTTTCAAACAGAGGTACAACCCACCTTGTGAAATGAGAGCTTAGTCTGCTATTTGCACTGCTTTCTTGCTAGTCACACACCCAGTAGTGCAAATGTTTTTAAATGCACCAATCCAGTTTCAGAAGTCAGACATTACAGAGCTATGATACTCAAACTGTAGGCCAAGGTTGTATGACTTTGATATTGTCTCTGAGGTACAAGAACAAGCAGATAATCTACACAAGGCATTCTTAAACCTTTTTGTCAGCTGGACTCCTTAGACGTAATATATTTGCTTGAAGTACCCCCTGTGATTTTAATTTAACTTTTCAATAATATAATGGCACATCACATATTCTCTGATGTCGGTTAACGGTCACATGACATGCAACTAAACAGCAAATAACAGAATCAATGATGCAAACTACTTCAAATGAGACAAATTCAAATTCTGCTGTAAAGCAACAGAAAATCTTTTTTAGTAAGTGTTTTGTTTTTGTATCTGAACTTTAAAATAGACTCAAATATCTTTTTAGTTGTGATAGTGATAGATTATTATTATTATTATGTATTAAAGGCAGAGTAAGTGATTTCTGGTAGCCAATGTTGATATTTGAAATCACCAAAACAAACACGCCCCTACCCCAAAAGGGTCTTGCCCCTATTTTGATAGCTCCGCCCCACACATAGTACAGTGCTAATATTTATGCCTTAAATTCTTCAATTTCAAATGTTGAAACCCTTGAACTTTAAACATTTAAAATCCCAAGTTTTTATTTTGGAGAAATAAATGCTGTAAACTTTTGTAAATGCTGTAAAATTATGCGAATGTGTAAATAAAGTGAACCTAGCATATATTGTTTTCCTAAATGCACATTACAGTTTTTCTCAATCGCATTGGCTCAATTCTCAAAGCAATAAATTCAGATGTCTGAATAGTTGAATTTCTTATTGATTTAAGCAAATTGCATGTGTTTTGGTGGCATTGGCATGAATTAAATGTTTGCATGCAATAGAGTTCTGATGTTCCAGCACACAGTTGTGATAATTGCACTTACAGTGCTGAGAAAAACTTAACTTGTCCCATGTCTCACCTCCAAGTATTTTACTTTGTTGTTTTTTTCAGTCTCCTGTGGATGAGCCAGTTGTTTTAAGCGATGAGGTCATCTTTCCCCTGACTGTGTCCCTGGATAAGCTCCCTGTCAACACTCTCAAAGTGAAGGTATGACTAGTGTGTGTGTGTGTGTGTGTGTGTGTGTGTGTTCTTGCATTCATGCATATGGTTGTGTATTTTCTGTTGATATTGGTTTTGCGGTATTAGTATAAATAGAACAGGAAGTTCTTATCAGCAGTATTGCTGATTAGTTGTGGATGCTTGTGCAAGATTCTTACTTTGCTTACTTTACTTTTAGTCATTTAGCAGACGCTTTTATCCAAAGCGACTTACAAATAAGAAAAAGTAATTAAAACTAAAAGCTAAAACTCTATAAATACTATATATGTATACACATTTAATAAAATAAAATAAATTAAATAAAAATGACAAATGCATACAACAACATTTCAAAACTAAAACATTTAAATAAAAACAAAAAAATAAAGCTAAAAACAATTAAAACATACACAAATAAGAAAAAGTAATTAAAACGAAAAGCTAAAAGCTTTTAAGAAAATAAAAGAAATTAAATAAAAATGACAAATGCATACAACAACATTTCAAAACTAAAACATTAAATGAAAACAAAAAAATAAAGCTAAAAACAATTCAAAAATATTAAAAGAACAAAAGGTATGAGTATAATAATGATTCTAACATAACACTAAGCCAAACACCAAAAAACAACTACATATGTGTATGTACAGCCACACACATATACATATACATGTACATATATATAAATACATTAAATATATATATATATATATATTATTTCATTTCCATTTTGTATGTTGAAGTACTGAAATAACTCAAATTAAATAAAAGTAAAACTTAATAAAAAGCCTATATAGACATAATAAAAAAACTAATAAAATGACAACATGACTACAACTGTAACTAAAACTAAAATAGATAACTAATACAAATCAAAGTACATTAGTTCATCAGTAATCCTAAAAAAATAACACTGAGGCAAACACACATGCTAAAATAACAACAACTTACTGACACATAGTAAGAAATAGTTTATAAAAAACTGAAACAGAAGTGGAAAGAGGAGAGATAAAAAGCGATACTTATGTCCTTTGCCAGTGTCC